ACAATAGCCAAAACATGGAAAGAGCCTGTGTCCATCAACAGATGAATGGATCAAGAAGATGTGGTTTATCTATACCATGGACTACTACATGGCAATGAGAAACAATGAAATCTGGCCATGTGTAGCAACATGGATGGACCTTGAGGGTGTTATGCTGAGCGAAATAAGTCAGGCAGAGAAGGACAAATATCACATGTTTGCATGTATAGAAGGATTAGGAGGAACTTAATGGAAGACCATGGGGGAGAAGTAGAGGGGAAATGGTGGGGGAAAGGGAGAGAGGCAAACCATGAGAGACTCTTGAATGATGAGAACAAACTGAGGACTGATGGGTGTGGGGGGGTAGGGGGCATGGAGGAGGGCACTTGTGGGGATGAGCACTGGGTGTTATATGGAAACCAACCTGACAATAAACTATTTGTAAAAAAAAAATAATATTAGTATTACAATATAGATCTCCAAAATTGTTGGCTGTATTTTAGATTCAGTATATATATTAGTATATATATTCAGTATAGATCTGATATATGTATTAGATCATATACAAATCATATACACATTTATATGTCTGCACTATTCTATAGTAATTTATGTAAAAAGCACCTACATATTTATCTGGAAAGTAATTTTCAGGAAACTTAAGAAACTTGTCCAAATCTTATAGGTAGTTTATCCCAGAGGTAAGAATTATATTCAAATTTTGTGACTCTTTACCCAAATCTCTGATACAACAGTCAGAGGGCCTTTTGAAAAAGGTGCATATAACAGTTTTATAAACTATTTTAGCCAGATTTTTTACAAATAAGCTGACCTTAAAGAAAATTTTTCTCAGAGACTTTTAAAATCCAAACTACTATTATTCTTTATGGGGGGGAGGGGGGAGGGAGGGGGTGGCAGGGAAGGGGATGAAGGAAAGGGAGAAAGAGAATCTTTTTTTTTTAACTTTATTTATTTATTTTGAGAGAGAGCAAGTGGGGTAGGGCCCTAGAGAGATGGGGGAGAGAGAATCCCAAGCAGGCTACACACTGGCAGCACCAGAGCCCAGTACCCGGCTCCAACTCACCAACCGTGAGACCATGACATGAGCCAAAATCAAGGGTCAGATGCTTAACCAACTGAACCACCCAGGCACCCTGGGAGAAAGATAATCTCGGGTAGATTCCATGTTCAGTGCAGGGCTCCATCTCATAACTCTGGGATTATGACCTGAGCCCAAACCAAGAGTCAGATGTTCAACCGACTGACCCACCCAGGTGCCCCAAACTACTATTAATCTTCTTTTGGTACACTAAAGAGTTTCTCTTTTTTTTCTTGCTTTCAGTACAGCCTTGCAAATTCTAAGTCAGAACCCAGAGAAGAGCCTAAAGAGTAAGTATAAACCAGAGGTGTTCTTTCAAATCAAATAGGAGGCTAGGATGAATGATAGACAGATATTGAGAGGACAGTAACTGTAAGCAAAGGGATTAGGCTTTCTCCTTTCCCTCCTGCAAGGTCTTAGTCATTATCATCTTTACTACAGAATAAAGCACTTATTTGTACATGATTTTGTTAGGCCCAATATATGTGACCTGAATAAAACATACCATTGCTTTGAGATTTAAAATTCAAAGAGAAAACTGAGAGAGACATATAGATATGACCTTAAAATATCAAACCAGTGAAGTAGTCAGCGTAAAGGAACAATCTATTATTGTACCTAAACAAGTTTCAGAAATTTCACCATCATTTTTAACACAAAAAGAGAAGTATGTTGATAATGGCCTCATTAATCGATTAACTAATTTAACCCTAATTTAACCCTGTACATTTTGAATACCCTCAAATATCTCAAATATTGAATATCATTAAACCACTCTGCTAGAGTACTTTTCAGAGTCTGGCAGTCTAATGGGTACACAGACATTCATAATTAGTTTCCTATTGTAACACACTTGGTAGCTGCAATGATCGAGATATGGACTGAATATTATAAGGAAACCAAGGAACATTACCTCATTTATCACAGAGATCTGGGAAAGTTTTATGAGAAGGTATGGCCTGGACTAAGTCTTAAAGGATGTTAATTTAGCAAAGGAAGACCTTGTCTCAAAGGTGAGAGTCTGCATAGAGCAATGTGCATCAAGGATTCTAAGCACTGTTTCTATAGAACATAAATCATGGGTCAGGGTAGTAGGGTAAAAATGAAGAAGTGGATGCTGGTCATAAAGAGCTTTCTATTGAGAAACTTTGACTGGAACCATTTCAATGAAGTCATTTGATTAGAAAATGTCCTTAACCTTTGACTTTGATTTTGGAAGTTTTCACCTCTGATGGCTCAGTCCTAGTCCTTACATTTTCAATTTGCCATTTCATCTCCTATCTGGCTCCACTTTTTAGGCCAATTAATTTTGTATACAAAAAAAATTTATTTATATTAGGGAAATTGAGTAGCAGGAGTACTTGGCTTCAAGTTCTATGTAAATAATCAAAGAAAGATGAACTGGCAGACTGATTTACCTTTTGCAAGCCATCCATGAGACAGTTCTTGAAGGAAGCTAATGTTATAGATTACACTTTATTTAATTTGGATAGAAATGGCTGGTATTTTTGGATACATCTCATACCTTTGGGTGAAAGCAATACCTGATTTTCCTTGCATGGATATGGGTTTTATGATGAGTCATAAGAAATAAACTTATTTTTCAAGGAAATTTTAGGTTATATAGCTCTTCTTTTTTTTCCTTGAGTATACCATTAGGCCTATTTGGGCCATGCAAATAAATGCATTAAAAGGAAATTAGTTTCTTTTAGGATTTTGTAGAAAATTATCATTGCTCCTATATTCCAGAAACAGAAAAGAGTAGACCAAATAAATTCTATATACAAAAGGAGGTGACCATGTGCCTTCAAAAGAATGTTGTTGTCTACACAGGGATTCAATGTAAGAATGCCTTAAATATCATGTTTAGCTAAGATACCTGAAACTTGATATAACAATAGTGAACAAATATTATATATTTAACATTACAGGGAAATGTTAATATATACTCATTCTGGAGTTATAGAATAAACAGAAGGAAACTTTCCAGAGGAGATCAAAGAGCACTTTTTATACTGTTTACAACCACAGTATTGTATTAATGCTAAGGAAATATTGCTCAACAGTTAGACCAAAGAGCCCTTTGGATTTGGCCTATTATTGAAAGAAAGATGCCATTTGACCTAATGAAATCAGAAATTGATTAAATGCAGTTCATCTAAGGGGAAGAATGGTCACAGAGTTACTGCCAAGGTCAGGAAGAGACAGGGTGATCTAGAGCCGGAGTGCTGATAGGGTTAGATAGACTCTCAGAGAAGCTGATGTTACAAGATGCATGACAATGGGCACCCGCAGGTCAGAGGGCAAGATCAACCCCTTCGATGGGAAAGAAAAGATTAATCAGAATATTCTTTGCTCAGCTTATAACTAGGTCCTCTTATCAAATGATTCATGGAGAACTGAATGTTTTGAAGAAACTGTAATCTATGGGTCCCAGGAAAGCTGGGATTGCTGCTAGCTATCTTGGGAACACATGTCACAACAATTGCTGTAGTCACACAGTGTCTCAGTGAAGCCCTGTAACCTTCGTGAATAATACCGTTGTGACAAAGTAATTTGGATGCTTGATTATCAAGTGTGTGTCTAATCTTTACTGTTCTTTCTTCTCATAACGTTTAAATCCTCCAGCTTTAGCAACATAAATGTTCAATTAAAATTTTTCATGTTTTTCTTCAGTAACAGAAATATTTTGAAATAAACACCTCCCTTAGCCTGTGGAAAACAATCAAGGAAAGAATTGACACTCACTGTTCCTCTGATATTGTCTGTCTTATGACTATAGTGAAACTAAGTAATTTTTACTTTCACACTTTAGTTCAATAGTTTATTTTTCTCAGGTGGATATTGACTGAAACTGGTGCCAGGGTAGCAATATTGATTTTAGGGGGGAAAAAACAAGAATCAGATGATTGACCATCTTGCCCAAATCGAAAACCTTTGTCCCTCTGACAACACAATAACCCACAATATTCTATATAAATATGACTCTGTTGTTTCCAGGTAAGAGATTTTCTGTTTCTTCAGAGCAAGATATTATTTATGTGTGTAATTTTAATATTGTTTTTATTTTCTTGGCAGATGGCTTATTCATCTTATTATTTTCATGCATTGGCAAGATTAGGCTGTTTTATAAAAAATACTTAAGAAGAAGAAACTTTAAAATATGTATTTATATGGATCTCCAGAACAGACTTCACAATATGTGTTTTAAACAATTGCTAATTACATATTTATCCAAAAAACTGGGATGACTTTTCCATTTTGGATAACAAACATCTTACAAATTTCTTTAATTATACAGTTACCAGAAAGGCCACAATGGTCACAAGAAAAAATATATTGGCTTTTGGGGGAAAGATTGAAAAACAATGAGTTATCAGTGTGTGTGTGTGTGTGTGTGTGTGTGTGTGTGTGTGTGTGTGTGTATAAGGGGTCTTAATATAACTCATATTCAGAACATTTGTTCTTCAGAAACTTTCAAGCCAGAATTAGAAAATATGTATATTCCTTGATTGACTTATGAACATGAATAATGTGTATATGTGTGTGTGAATCATTTTTAATTTGTGAAACTTTTCAAACATACAGAAGAGAAGAACATCATGATCACTCTGATAGATACCACCTAGATTCCTCAACTATTAACATTTGGGACAATGACAGACAATCTGTCATCATACACATTTCTTAGAAAGAACATCTGCCCTTGCCGGGGACTCACTTCCCTGCCCATGCAGCAAAATCTTCCTCCCCAGTTCTCTATTCTCTCTCTTTCCCACTATTTTTTCTGGCATGGAAGTTCTGCATTCCCTTCCTCCTTGACAACACTGAGGATTTTCAGGGTCCAGGAGCCTCCTAGCCAAAGCCATTCTGATATTTCTAATTGCTTTGGTGGAGTTGGTATAGGAGTCGGGGAGGAGAAAAGGAGAAATTGGATGGAAAACAGCGCTACTGGAAAGTCTTGGCTCCTAGGGCCAGAGGTGCAACAAACCCAGAACAAGCTGTTCCCTAAAAACATTATAAATGATTACATAAGGTTTAAGGGTGCTTTTGTGGCTAGTACGTGGTTTCCTTATGAAAATGTGTTGAGATCTAAGCAACCAGTTTACAATTGGATTTTGAGAACATAGTCTACTTACTGCTGTGAATGGCCAGTGTTATAATTATTTAGATTAGAACAAAAAATAACTGCCTTCTCTATCAGACTTGTTTTCACTTGGCATGATCATGATTACTTTACAGACAAATTTTTAAACAAAGATATTATTAAAGGTTCACAAGTATTTTCATTTTCTACATTGTATGAATGTTTCATTCCAAATTTTCCAGTCCTAACTTTATTCCGGTAGCCTTGTACATACACCCCTACTCCCCTACTACACACATTACTAAGGGGCAATAGAATTGGGAATTTTATATCTAAATACTTTTAGGATTTCACCAAGAAGACATTTATGCATTTGTTTTTTTATGAAAATTTAATCAAAAGAAAGCTAAATGAAAACTCATCTGCAAAATAAAAATAATAATAATAATAAAAGAAAACTAATTTTCTTTCAGTTCTGTTACTTTTTTAAAAAATTTATTTATTTTGGGAGAGAGAGAGAGAGAGAGAGAGCATGTGAACTGGGGAGGGACGGAGAGAGAAGAGAGAGAGAGAGAGAGGGAAGCCTAAACAGGCTCTGCACTGTCAGCACAAATCCTGATGCAGGGTTTGAACCCATAAACTGTGAGAACATGCCCTAAGCTGAAACTGAGAGTTTTAACTGATGTTTAACTGACTGAGCCACCCAGACACCCCCAGTTCTTTTACTTTTTGATTTTATTCTTCTAACTCATGTTCATTTTGAGGTGCATATTTATAATGCTAAAAGTATCAGTTTTATATAAAACTTATCCAAGGTCTCCACACATGAATTTTATAGTTTACTGCTTGATTAGCATGGGGTATATTACTTCTAAGGCAGAACCCAAATACAAAACTAATTTTAAAAAGTTGAAAGTGCGATGAGTGAATTCAGGACTTTTAGTTGTATACCTTCAGGTATATCTGTTAATGAAAAATAAAATGAATATATGAGTAAATGAATAAACTAAAGCTATGTCTAAAGGAATAGTGAAATGGCTAGATGCTGAATCCTTTCCACCAATGGGAACTTCTTCATGAAGTTCTGGGCATCAAAGAAACAAGAGTATCTCTTGGCTCCCTTTTACTATTTCCTGGTGAGCTGCTCCCAAGAGAACCCTGGCTGCCATTTTCACCAGGGGAGTCTCCAGGAGAAAGACCAGCTGCTCATATTTAGATTTTGCAGCAATGAGTCCCATATCCAATTCTGTTTCTTTCCCCCTATTTTCTCTATACTTAAGGAGAGGTTGAACAGTATGTATGCCCTGGTCCAGTCTTCCATTAGACACTACACTCGGTTCAGGCCCTATTTTGGTACCATCATGCCCATTTGGTACGCAGAGGATGATAATAAGAGTTCCTACTCACTGAGTACCTGCTGTGAGCTAAGCATTTACATATCTAATTTCAAATACTCACTCTATCCTGCAAGGACAGTATTAGACCCATGTTTATAGACCTGCAAAGTAAAGCTCAGAAAATTAATAAACCTCTTCAAGGGTATCTGATGCAGGATTTATATTTGAGCCTTTCCTCTTTGCCATCAGTGGAAGATACTTCTCTTTCCTTGGAAAAATATGCTAGCATTTCCTTTGATTGACTCTCCACTTTCCATTAACAACCCTCCCTGGAGAGCTGCTCTCCCACTCATCCCATGCTGGTGTCCTGAATTTCCCACAGTGATTTGGCCCTTACATTGAATTTTCTGGCTTCTTGTCTGTTCGACTCAACTGATATCTTAAAATATCTGATTAGTCCTTAATAGTGTTGGCAGGTTAGAATCATATTTTTAAAAGGAAAGTATATTTAAGCACTTAACTTTCACAATTCACTCATTGAGAGCACATAATTTTTCCCATGTTACACAGAGAAGCTGGACAATGAAATGACCACCTGTTAGCTGCTAATGATGTTCACATGCCTTTAAAAAAGTAATTCTGGCTTTATCTGTCTACAATCTTGGCGACAAAACTCATGGGAACATCAAGGGCACAGGAAGCCAAAGGCAGCAAACTGACAATAAAGTTTGTGCTTAGACTACTAATAAGAAAGGAGATACTGTGAATCTCTAATTCTACATAATTATTTAATCTCAAGAGGGTAACATAAAACTGAATGCATGTTTTAAAAACCTAAGTTTGGGTGTTCAAATCCAGAACTTAGACGGGTTTCACACAGTCTAATTCTTATTTGAAAAAATATTCTTAAAAATATCAATTATAAAATATGCCAATCACTATTTCAAGGGCATAGTCTAATTTGATATTGTGTAGGTAAGTCAATCATTATGCCTTTCAGATGAAAATCAATACATACTTAGTGAATGAACTTAATTTAAAGTAATAGATGGATATTAACTAACTGTATTCTATGTTGCAAATACATATACTAACCTTAAAAACGGGCTTACAAGTATAAATATCCATCAAAACAGAAGTGAAGCATTTTCTAAAATTAGGGCTAGCATTATAGATTAAATGACCCTTTTATTTTCATAGTTAGGTCAAAACCCTAAGATATCTGGGTTTAATTCTTCTGCTAATATGTTTTTGGGTCTGTGTTACGTTTACTGACTTCTATGGATCTCATTTTTAATGTAATATTTCCATCCAAGTCCAAGGTTGATATAAACTAAGTGTACCTTTTATTTGTTCACTTCACCATAGTATAATGGTTGAAAGCAGAGGTTCTAATATTAACCTGAATGGATTTGAAACTTGTCTCTGTAACTTGTCTTTGTACAATCTGCCTTAATTCTCTGCATGCCAGTTTCCTCATATATAAAATAAAGTTAGCAGTAGTATCTGATTTACTAGGTTAGTGAGAGGACTAAGTAAGTCAACATTAGAATAATGCCCAGTAAAAAGTTAGGGTTTGATAATTGCTGACTGTCTTTATTTCTTACTGCAAAGGAAAGAGTGAATAGGTGGTCACTAGAGGATTAGGTACATTTTTAAATGAGTAGAATAAATCATATGTCTCCTCCCTTGTCTCTAGGCAAGATTGAATTTAAGCCCCAAATAGACAAATAGTTGTCTTTCTCAATCAAAAATAAATACTAAAGAGGAATAGCTGGCATATTATCCATAGGAACTTGTTTCCCCTAAAACATTTCGCTGAACACAGAATCTATTTGCCTCAATGTTTCTCAAACGCTTCTACAAATCTTTATCTTCTCCCAAGCTTCAGGCTTTTGAAGCATGTCAGGGTATCTTCCAAATCTCTACTAATCATTGCCTCATACATCCTGTGATACACACAACAAAATGTTCATATAATTAACAGCAACATGCTCACATACTCCCACAACATTAACAATCCCACAATTGAATTCTAATTCTAAAACCTTAACTTAAATTTGAGGTCATATTAAGTAAAGGGGAACAATAACCAGGAATTAAAGGGAAACATTCAAAGTGAGACAACTCCAAACTGCCCCACCTTATAGAAGAATCTTTTTAAATGGCATTGTGAGCACTCTACAAAATAACTTAATTTGCAAGCACCATACAGTTTAACACATTAACATTGATCATTTTAAACTCCAACTTAACACAACTGGCTAGCTATATATGTTTCTAGCAGTTGTTGTATTGTGGTATGAGTGTTTGAATAATGACTTAATTTTGAAAGGGTGCTTCTACTCGAAGTTGTCATACTATTTCTAGATTCTTAAGATCTAGAATAATTTAGCTCCGGAAGATATGCTATATATAAATGGCTTCTCTCTTCCTTGTCATATGCCTGTGAGGGTGCATCTATGTTTATATATACATACATATAGATGTATATATACATACATATAGATGTATATATATATATACACATATAGATGTATGTATATAGTCTTCCCTAATGCACACAAATATATGCATATACACATAGAGTCATTTAGCATATGTACTCATGTTCATGTGTAGATATTCTGTTAAAAGCCCTTCTCTATTTATGGACTTCTCTTTAATTCAAAAAGGTAGTATATAACTATACTGATCTTAGATCAGAGGGAGATGGCAGAAAAAATAGCGATTCAGAAGACTGAGGGTGGCTAGGTAGCTGATCTAGGAAAGGTACTATAATTTTTTTAAGAATTTGGAAAATTGGTTTTCTTTGATTTCAGAGACACCTAGTTTGCTTTCAGAGGTACCTTTCAGGAGGCTGAAACCCAAACCAGCTCTAAGATATGTGTGACATCTTCCCATAGTCCCCTTTCATTGAAGAGGAAGGAGGTTGGGCAAGGTGGAGAGATATACTCAAGCACACTATATGGTGAGATTGGATCGTTTTACTCCAAATTCATTTCTTTCCGAATATTAGAACTAGGGGCACCTGGGTGGCTCAGTTGGTTAGGCGACCAACTTCGGCTCTGGTCATGATCTCACAGTCTTTTGAGTTTGAGCCCCGCATTGGGCTCTGTGCTGACAGCTCAGAGTCCGGAGCCTGCTTCAGATTCTGTGTCTCCCTCTCTCTCTGCCCCTCCCCTGTTCAGGCTCTGTCTCTCTCTCTCTCAAAATTAAATAAACATTTAAAAAGAAGAATATTAGAGCTGGATATGTAGTTCATATAATATATGAACATCCCACATTTAACATATAATTCACACCCCACACTTCTAAATCTTTTTGGTGGCCTGAAAGTCTGGAAAGTTGCCTAGCCTGTTGGTTTAAGTTGAGCCAACTGTGGTGGTCACTCACACATTTTTTAATGTATGGAAATCAAATAGTCAGCATACCAAGGTTTAGCGAGGCTTGACATTTCCCACTTTCAAAATCAATCACCAATCTGAACGCCGTGGCTATTACTCAGAGATTCAGAGGTTTGCTGTAAGCAGGGACCATGACCTTGGAACAATTATTTTCTCAAAAGGCATTACCAACAATGACGTGAGCAAAGCACCCAGACTGCCCTCCAGTTCATGATTCCCTGGGCAGGAAATGGCTGCGAATCTTCCATGAGTAGTATGAGTTTGGCTCAAATCTTATTCCAATGCATTTATATTTCATAAGCATTGCATTTAGACAATGTTAAAATCAGCAAGTAAAAAAAAAATACTTACTTAAAGATTTTCTGTGCTCTGGTTTCTGTTCTTTTATATCATTATCGTAGTGACTTAGTAATTCAGTACTGGAGGATCTCTGGATTTTGAATAATTCCAGGTTTCTTGATGAACCACTTGGATCCTTTGGCTAGATATAACAATTAGACTTGAATAATTTACGAAGAAGAAAGGATTCCCCAAATAATTTAGAGATCTATTTTGATGTTAGATTTAAAGGGAAGATTAAACTAAGATAATTATTTTGAGATAGGACCTTTATGCTAAGCTCAATATTCAAATTTAATCACAGCCACACACACACACACACACACACACACACACACACACACGAAACTAAATGCTGTGCATCACCCCAAGTATTCCACATGTATTAACTCAATTAATCATCAGAGTAATCCTATGAGGTAGATATTATAATTATCCTTACTTTCCAGACTAGAATTCTGAAGCCAAAAGAGATAAGTAATTTGCCTAAGGCCACACAGCTAGTAAAGGATAGAACCGGGATTCAAACTCAGGCAGTTTGACTCCAGAGTCCACTCTTAACGACAACCCACTCTGTGTGTGGGTGGGTGAATGTGGGTGTGAGTCCTCAAGCATGCCTGGATAAGGGGACTATGTTGATAATGAAGAAAAGTCAATTTGTTATTTTTTAAAGTTTTAGCCCCAAAATGAAATAAAGGAAGATTGCAATTAAATAACACTAAAACCACACAAAAAATGCTGTCTTTTTTTATTTTCCTATTGTATACCTTATTAAAAGCGCTCAAGAATATTTCTTTCTCACGACTTTGCAAATATCAGTGTCCTAATTTAGATGTTTGGTCTAGAATCAGTTTAAAATGGTAGTTTTCAACAGTCTGATTTTCTGAATGTATGATGTAGGGTAATTTCATGAAGTTTTAGATTCATAATTTTCATGAGAAGAACAATCTGGCTTAGCTAGAAGAAAAATGAAAATCAGTACAAAGGATTATTATTTACTGGTGTTTGAACAGTGAGTATGGGCTTAAATACATTGGTTGTTTATTTTCAAGAATAAGTATTAATGACTGCATGAACTAAAAATATGAAATTTCAGGGGCGCCTGAGTGGCTCAGTCGGTTCAGTGTCTGATTTCGGCTCAGGTCATGATCACACGGTTTGTGGGTTCGAGCCCCACATTGGGTTCTGTGCTGACAGCTTACAGCCTGCAGCCTGCTTCGGATTCTGTGTCTCCCTGTCTCTCTGCCCCTCCCCCACTCATGCTCTGTCTCTCCCTGTCTCAAAAAGAAAAAAGAAATTTGAAAATATGAAATTTTAGTAGTCATCAGTGCTTGTGTGCTTTTTATAGCCATTAATAAACGAATATCCATATTATTTCTGGGAAAAAATGAATGCCCTGTGTTTTTGGAAGATAAATCAAATGACATTTAGCTCCACAAATCATGTCTGTTGAAACAGTTTTTAGTGGACTCTATTTAAACTTAAAATAACTTAATATCTCTTGATCTGCAGGATCCATTGAAATGTGTGTGTGTTATATGCCTAAACAGCACAATTTAAGTGACAACATTTTAATTAATAAAGGTAACAGCCAAAACAAATACATACCAATCTGTCAATTGCATTTTTGATAGCGTGGAACCAATCCAATATGATGAAGTCAATATCTGACTGTAGAAGGAACTCATTTCCTGATACTGTGGTGATCTGAAAAAAAAAATCGACAGGTAAGCAAACCATATAAAATAGATCTCTTACATTAAAAAATGGATACACACACACATTGTTTTAAAAACACACTTCAATATACCAAAACATTTTCTTGTATTCCAGTAATTGTCTTTCTGGGAACTGGGAGACTAGGATCATTTTGAACCGCTCTCTATAAACTGTTTTTTCATGTCATAACAAATACATTATTGTTTTAATAATAGAACGATTAACTCAGAATAGGACTAAAGCTGAATTACTCCAACTCAAGGAGAAGCAAGCCAGGAAGTTCAGAATAATGCAGACAGTATCCACTTAAGTCAGAACCTCAGAAAAATGCACCCGGGTGTGTCAGAATTCATTCTGCACTTTTGGCTCTTTCCTGTTTGTCTTTTTCAAATCTAATAGTATCTCTATATTTGATTTCCTTTTATGGAGGGCTGTAAAACAGATTATTTACCAAAGAGACTAATGCAGACTTTTCCAAAAGGTCATTCAAATGAATAACATTTGGCTATTTCTACTTTCCTATCATAAAGATCTATAGGAAAGTAATAAAGGACCAATTTCTCCACAAAAGGAGTGTATTAGAATACAACTTTATTTACATATTTGAACCTCTCATGGAGAGTATTTATCAAATGAACATCCCTATTCCAGACTCTCAGGGTGATTAAGTAGCTGGCAATATTTAACATGTAACTATACATTTTTCATTACACTGAATCTTTTCCTCCCCAGAATTGTGAGAGAAGAATGTGACCCTCTAGAAACAGAGCAATGCTCTTGATTTCACATGTAAAAGCCTACTTAGAGACGAATTTGATTAGAGTGGGTGTGGACACGCTTTTTGTATTAGGCCATCAATCTGAACTGCGAAGATTTTCCCTTTGTATTGACTTTTTGTTTCAACGGCAAGATGAACACTTCCTGACTACTGTCACACATCAAGCAAGGCTACGGAGGTTTAGAGGACTGACATTTCAAAATACTCAATCAGGAGCTAGTCACCTCTTCGCAGCCTGACTTGCTCTGAATGGGAGGTGAACACTGAAATGTGGCACAGGTTCAGAAAATCGCAAATCATGCTTCAGGATGTCTCTATAATTCTATCATTAAAGTGACAATTATTACACCAAATAGCTCACTCTGAAAGTCTCAATGATTCTTATCACAACGTTTAATGACAATGGTCCTGGAGTTTTAAAGAAATCTTCGATTACACACATACATATATATTCACTTGTCATTTATTTTTAGAAACGCTATATAGAGATGAAACATCACTCAGTGTTACAGCACAACCATTCTTGATTCCGACATTTTACAAGAATAAGGAAAGGACTGTCCAAGTACGTGCAATCATAAGAAGTGAAAGATCAGAAAATAAGAGGAATTTTATTATCCACATTAGAATTTGACAGACTACCAGAGCCAATCACTCTTTTTTTTTTTTTTTAAGTAAAATTGCACGTAAGATTTCGGAAGGCTCAAAATAGCCCCTAAATAGTCTTCTGTTTTATGTATCTATTACAAGACAGTTAAGCTGATGTTTGCCTAATTATCTGAACACCCAAGCAATGTTCTTCACTTACATAAAGTTCCAAATATTTACTTTATAAAGTGTTGCCACAGAAATAGTAATCTAAAAATATAAGGTCACTTGTGACTAACACAAGAAAACTAGTAATGTCCTTGACCTCTACCTTCATCCTAATTTAACTTTAAATATTTTGATTATGAATGTAGTATGTAACATCACAATTTGTTAACATACACAAAGAAATATGAATTAGCCTAAGCACAACATGCAATCTAATATATATTTTTCTGCCATTATAAATAAACCACTATTAAAATTGTAAAAGAAACATTTCAAAGTATAAGAAACAAACATAATTAGATTTACTATATTCTGAGGGTTTAGGAAAGAGCTAACACAGTTCAGTTTTCAGTCTAGTAAATTCAATCAGTGATAAAATGTAAGTACTTCGGCAGTACATTTGCATTTTTGGTGCATGCTATGCAATGCAAAGGGGATCTTTTACCGCCAGCACAACCAAAAACAAAATGTATTTTAAAAGTTTCTTTATCCAAACATATTACTGCATTAATCGTACATACTCAGTGATTTATGCATTCATTTGAGGAAGCTGGATCAGAGAACTATATGAATGCAATTCATTCAAAATCTACTATCAGAAAGATACAGTTCACATTCTTTCCTCTGTCTTCCCACTAATCTTTCCAGTTACTAGGCATTCTGGAGAAGTCTGCTACTGCTCTCTACAGTTTAAATGCATCCACTTCTTAATTACAGTCAGTAATTGACTTTGTTCTGCTCTATCCCAGCCATTCACAGGAAAGCAGTTTCAAAGTCTTTGCTCAAGCCCATTTAATTCAGGTTTCTCAATCCACATTTTTACATGATCTCTTTAAGGTTTTCTGATAAATGGTTTGCTGAATCATATTTGCCGTTTGAACAATCAAATTTTCAACACTCTTGAGGGGAAAAAACCATCAGTAAAAACTGTTAGCTTTGACTAAGCCTTTTGATTGAGCAATTCCTGATGGCAATGTAAAGTGATGTAAAACTAATAACAGACAAAAAAAGATTTTAGATTAAGTCATGCTAATGTGTTCTTTCTATATCATGTTTTGCCCAAGTGACAGATGCTGGTGTGAGGTGGATGAAGAAAGAACTTACAGAAAACACAATGGGTTTAGGCAAGAGTGGCTGGTCTCCATTTTGAATTGAAGCCTACTTTAGACAAATGTATCTTGAGCTGCCTCCTTGCCACCAGGTCATATTTTAAAGGGATATATCCTGCCACCAAGGCGGTCCTAATGAAATGTGCTAGTGTTGTCTAAAATAGACATCTTTAATTGCCTGTCTGGGGAAATTTGCCTTAAAGTTTTCACACCGGATAAGGATCTGTCTGAATTCTTGCTGGTGACACACGGATGCGTAGGCAATCATAGGAGTGTATCCACTGGGCAACGTAAAGAAGAGACACATTCTGTAAGGTTTTTTGGTATTATTTCAAAAATAGTTTCCCTCTGGGCTAGGACACTAGGTCTGTGACCTTGCTGTGGTTCCTCTGAAGATGAAAGCAGGTATCTCCCAGCTCCCAAACTCCACCAATAAACAACGGGGAAAGAAGAAATGTGTTGTTCAGGCTTTACTTAACGCATGGAGTATTGTTATGCTAATTTAAACATCTTTGAGGAGTTTTAATAATTAGTGCTTATGTTTATTTAAGCATTAGCTCTGTCAGTATTGTCAGTTAAGTATTGCCCTTATCAATATACAGTCTGCCATTTAGTCTTGCCCATGTTAGATTTTAATTTAAGTGAAAAATAACATGTAGAATGGCATTTATACTATTAAAAATTTCCATAATTTGGTTTACCAGAATAGAAACAAAAACTTTTTTGAATTTCACATTTTCTCCTAATTATAAGAATTGAATTTGTTATGAAGAATTTGGAAAGAAATAAAGATTAAAAAAAGCAAATTAAAACTATTCATGACTCCACAGAGTAAACACTATGGACATTTTAATTTAGTTATTGCCAACCTTTTACAAATAATAAGTATTTATGATAGTGATCATTGTACAACTTTATGCTGTAGATAGACACCTTATCAGTAAAATATATTTGATTGCTAACTCTTCTTGGCTACTTCCATTCCAGTTTACCTCAAATGCATGTTGAGAGACTATCAGAAGTGCAAGAGATATTAGTGATATACATTCCCTCTTTGATGGTAGCACCTGTCCTATTGTAGAATTAATTCTGCAAATAATTCTTTGTTCGGGAGATTGAGACGGGGTGTTTCTGACCGAATATCCCCCTACTTATCAAGGACTGACTGAGCATCCATTAAGTGCAAAGCACATTGCTAGAAGCGAGGGACACCCCCGCCCCATCTTCAAGAGCTCACAATCTGTTTGCATAAATAGGACATATGCATATAAAGATAAATAACAATAGAAAATGGCTTCCACTAAGTTTCAATGTGAGTGGCACAGACAATGCTCATGTCAAGATTTCAGAGAGGGAGTAATTACTGCAGACACATTTACATCATGGAATTATACATAAACTGTTGATCAGGATATGTTATTCCTTAAAGGTTGATTGTATCAGAACTTTAGTATATTAAGGATATGAATACTACCACTTGGTATGCAAAGTAATATCAGCTTTAATGATCTCAAAGCACGTAATAAACATTCTTCAAATGCAGTTTCCTTTCACTATCATAAAGTAATTTTGCAAATGAAGAAAATGAAGCAAATGAGGAAAGTGAGAATTCCATTCTATCAAATTGGCATCATTTTAAATGATAGAATTAAGAGATTACAAAGATCTTGATTTCTAGTTCACTAGTCCTCAGCAAACACAATCTTATACAGTCAAGGACTCTGTGCATACGGGAAAAGGTCTAGATGATTTGGTTTTAGTTGTGAAATCTGGAATGTAGACCCTAGAAAAAAGCTTCTTGTTTCTACCTTGTTATGCTAAAGATAGCCCAATTTTTAAAAGATCAGACCATGGGGGAAGGGAAAGGGAAAAAATAGATACAAACAGAGAGGGAGGAAGGCAAAAAACAAGATACTATTAAATACAGAGAACAAACTAAAGGTGGATGGAGGGGTGAGGGAGAGGAAAAGGGCATTAAGGAGGGCACTTGCTGGGATGAGCACTGGGTGTTGTAAGTAAGCCAATTTGACAATAAATTATATTCATTAAAAAAAATACTAATGTTGGGGCACCTGGGTGGCTCAGTTGGTTACGTGGCAGACTTCGGCTCAGGTCATGATCTTGCATTTTGTGGGTTCGAGCCCTGCATCGGGCTCTGTGCTAACAGCTTGGAACCTGGAGCCTGCTTCGGGTTCTGTGTCTCTCTCTGCCCCTCCCCTGCTCACGCTCTGTCTCTCTGTCTCTCAAAATAAATAAATGTTAAAAAAAATTTTTTTAAATACTAGTGTCATTAGACCATATAAAATGAATATGTTCAACAAACTCTGGGTCTTAATAAAAGTCTTTGTTTAAATGTAAAATAAATAAATAAGAACACAAAAAGATCACCCAATCTCCATATTCAGATGTTTTCTCCTTTCCCCTCCTCAAAAACAACCACTATTTTGCTGAGAAAAAATATATCTAAAACAAGATTAGGGCATCCAAAAAAAAAAAAAAAACCATCTTAGAAAGGAGTGGGAACAATCCTACATTTGAACAAAGTATCATTCATATTTTGCTTAGGATCATCTTTAACTACAAGCCAAAGGAGAATTTATTCCATTTTAATGAAGCTGAAACTGTACATAAGAAACATAAAAAAAATTTCAAATATCCAAAGAGCCTTGAAAAATGTTAAATGATATGGCTACAATGATTCTAGAAATAACTGGATTACCCATTTAGGAGGAATGGGATTTAATTACTCTGGTATTTGGTGACATTTTGGGATTCATGATGAAGTCATTAGATTTGAATTAAATTAAGTAGATATAAAAATTTATGTCAAAACATACTAAATTTATTTGAAGTGAATAGAATTATTTTTGAAATTAATTTTGGCTCTATCTTTATTGACTTCTAACTGCATAAAATATAGGTATATATTTTGGTTACATTATAGTGAGAGCTCAAAACCTAAAATGGAGGAAATAATGCCCAAAACAATCCCTCAGACTCACATTTTTTTCATCTTGCATCACACTTCACTTATATCCATTTGATATAGCTGATCAAATAAAGGTTGTCATGGTTATACTAATAGTTAAATTACTTAGTCTCAAAGGTGTTTATGACCACCAGTGAAATTATATTATCAAACTGTATGTCTATCTCAAATTACAGTCTGGTTTGAGTAACTCCTAACATTTTTCTTAACATGTTGAGCAAAGTTAACATAAAACTATGGGTAAAATATCAGTTAGAAGTAAAAGGTCTTCAATTTGTCTTTCCAAAAATGTTACTTGTTAAAACATTTTGTGAGAAAGTATCTGCTTTGTGTTCCCAATGTTGCTAGATGTTAAGTAAATATATGCTGATTATAAGGGAAAAAAAGTTGCTTTGGCAACTCTCTTATTAA